CATTCTTTTTAGTTTTACTGGTTATGTGTTTCTTATGTAGAGATTCTTTTCATGGAGTGTTTTGATCCGATCTTTTATGAAAATACATTCTTGACCCATTGCACGAAGTTTATCTTACATAGTTTCTTCATGTTCTTTTTTAAGTTTGTCAGTCTAGTTTTTGTCTTACATTCCTCATTTTTTTATCCCTCATCATCTCTGAATCATTTCAACAATTCAAGTGAGAGGGCTCTTTGTAAAGGAAATTCTAAGACGATGGTTGAGCAGGCTGACAACTTCGAGTTACAAAAAGAACCAAAACATGGTCGTTCCTCGGTTTGGTCATGAAATCTTTCCTGCTATGAATTTGCAAAAGATTTGGAGGACCCCATCTGATCTTCTTGGTCATTGACCATTGATTTCTTCACTACTCTCTTCTTGCTTATTTCTCCAACAAGTGTTTCCTTTGCTTGCTTTCTCTTCATTTCCACCTTTCGGGCCCTGGATTGCTTGCCACCAAGGGTCTTGAGAAGTAAGTCTCTATCAGCGCCAAAGGTTCCTTCCCCGGACATCGCGACTGGCTCAAGCAGAAGAAAAAACCATGCAAAGGGATGATAGAAGAGAGGATCCCACACAGCCGCTACTCTTTCATGGTCTATTTTATAAAAACATGCACACGAAAATCCAGGGAAGTCATTTATTAAGCAATTATATCAACATAAATTAAATCCATGCTTTTTATTTTTGTATCAGGATAAAATTCACTTGTTCTTATTCACAACACGATTTTCAAGAAGCAAGAAAATCAGATAATTGAATATAAATACAAAAAATATATTTACAGGAATCTCGAGGAGATGCAACAGTCAAGTCTGATGATGAGGAATAAAGGAATCTTTCAACTCGTAGACAATACTAGAGCTGGAAGAGCCCCTTGATGTCAAGCCTCAAGATCGAACCGCTAAAAAGGCCTGATGATCGACCCAAAGCTAACCAGTCGAACTAAGGTGTGATGATCAACTAAAAGTCGAAGAGGCAAATTAAGGGAAAATGATCGGCTACGCACCCATTGATCGTCACGACCCACACTAATCAGATAAGCACAAATGCGACTGAATATATTTTACAAGAACCCCCTCAAGGACTAATGATTAAAGGACATACTTGTAATTCTCAAAGACAAATGATTAGAGAGCATACTTGTAATTCCAATTTTCAAATAAAAGTTACACACTTTTTACTGTTCATAACTGTCTTTCTCTTTCTCTTCTCTTTCTGTGACGCTCCATTCCTTGAGTGTGTTTCCCAGAAATTTTATATTCAACAATATCTAATATTAAAAATATAATATTTATTTATTTAGTGCTCAACCTTTTCACATTTCATTAACATTATCATTGTTCTGTGTTGGAAGATTTGCAGTAGTAGAATTATAATTTAACGTCTAAGCAAAGTATTATGATCTAGCATATACACGGATAATTTGAAAGTAGCAGAAGTAGATATCAAAATTTTTTACACGTAAAAACCAGAAAAAGGAAAAAATCATGAGGCCTATCTCAAAAAAATATTCCACTATAAGTGTGTAATTACAAAGAGTTCATAACTTTCTCACAACTAGAAGAGCAGGTTTATAACCTTGCACCAAATATAATGTTTATCCATATACAATGCACAAAAACTCCATTAGTCCTGAGAAAGTCAACGTATTTTGAATACAAGGATAATAAGCAGCTGTTGTTGGATTTTCAATAGGGTTTTACTTATCAAACCATATTCGGGATATGTTGTTACATCAAAAAGTTAGCCAGCGTCGATGAGTATGGGCGGTTGACGATGGTCGATGGCTACGGAAGCGGAAAGTTCTCGCTGGGTTGTCAAACTATAACAACACTGGAATTTCAATCTCCCCCAATCAAGGTGAAAAGATGTGGTCTATTTATGGGCTCTATAGGAGAGATATTTTGGTCATTTGGCAAGTAACTTTCCTAACCACTTGATTAGGCGATGCATATTAACCCCCATTGATCACAAGACTATGTTAATGATTTGAGAGTCTTAACGACCTCATAATTAATAGATCTTAGGCCTTATATTCCTCTTATTGAGATGCTCAATTTAGATATAAATATGTCAAATTTGAAGTTCATTTGATCATACAGTTAATAATCCAAAACCTCCAGAAGCATTTTAACGGCTCGATCTGGACTCGATTTGATTAGAATTTGACCAATTTTAGTATCATTATGTTTGTTTTGTCAAGATAGTCAATTTAATTATAAATATATTGAAACAACCACCTTTGATGATCTTTAATTTAAATCTAAAATATTTCTTATTCAAAAAGAATCTCTAATTTCAAACATTGTCATAAGAAATTGATTGTTGAGGCATAAATCATGAATATTAATTTTTTTTT